GAGTGCCGAGCTGGTAGTTTTTTTTTTCTCTACATTTAGTCATTACAATGGGATACCCTTTAGGCTCTCTCACTTTCTACATGTTCTTTTGGATTACTTTGGAGACCCATGGAATACCCCTTAGGCTCTCCCTCGTCAGATGTTCTTTTGACTTTAGGGATCCATGGGATACCCTTAGGCCCCATTCACGCCAGATCTTTTGAGATCCATTTTTCAACAGATGCCAAAGGAAGGTTACCCCCCAAAAATTAGGCTATCATTTATCACATGTTCTTTTGGAATACTTTGGGGACCCATGGGATAGCCCTTAGGCTCTCACTTTCCACACGTTCTTTTGGATTACTTCAAAGACCTATGGCATACCCCTTAGGCTCTCACTTTTTATACGTTCTTTTGGATTACTTTGGGGACCCATGGGGTTACCCCTTAGGCTCTCACTCTTCACTGGTTCTTTTGGATTATTTTGGGGACCCATGGGATACACTTAGGCCCCATTCACACCAGATCCGTTGCAATCCATTTTCCAAAGGATGCCAATGGAAGGTAATCCCCAAAAAATTAGGTTCTCATTCATCACACTTTATTTTGGAATACTTTGGGGACCCATGGGGTACCCCTTAGGCTCCTGCTCTTTAAGTCTTCTTTGGAATTACTTCAAGGACCTATGGGATACTCCTTAGGCTTTCACTTGTTATATGTTCTTTTGGATTACTTCGGGGACCCATGAGATACACCATTGGATAGGAGCTGCCCCTAGAGACCTGAGATCAGACCAGGCCATGTACACTATTGGCATCAATGCTCCACCAGCAGTTACTTTGTTACCATGAACTGTTTCTAGGCCACCCATGGGGGGGCCTCGTACTACATAGGTATTGGTGGATGTGAATGAGATTGATGTCTGTTCCGGATATCTGACCGATAGTAATATTTCCTTTATTTCCTCCGCAGCCCTCTACAACTTTCAAGGTAAATCTGAGGAAGAGCTGAACCTGCAGGTGGGAGATACGGTGCAGATATTCGAGACGTATGAAGGTAAGGACCGCCTCGTTTTATGGACCATACTGAGGATTCTGTTGTCACGTTGTCTATTTGGACCTCATCAAAGTGCTCAGTCATTGATCAAGATGGCTGTCTTCTGATACCGGGGGGTTCAAACCCATTGGAGGAGCGTAGTATGGGCACAGAGGAGTTAGATATGCGGGTCATAGAAGTGAGGATACTCTCCAAGTCAAAGCTGAGCTTCAGGCAGATACAAAGGACCGCAGTAAGAATGTAGTTCTGAGTTCATCAATACAATCCCCAAATATATGTTTTAATGTTAACAATGTAAGTACCTGAAATTGACTGGGTATCAGCCTCTTGCAGTCTCTGCACAGCAGAGCTCAGATAAGGAGAAGCAGCACAAGGAGCCAGTCAGGTGTGTTTTTAAAGGGAGCATGCAAAAAGGAGGAGAGAGCAGAGTGGCAGCAAATTGGTGAGCACATTCTCCACTACTTCTTTCGCTGTTCAGTTATAAGGTGGGGTTGGAGAGAAGAGTTGTAAGTGAAAGTGTACAAGGAGAAGCAGCACAAGGAGACAGTCAGGTGTGTTTTAGAGCAAGACATATGCTCATGGGAGGAGAGGGCAGAGTAGCAGCAGACTGATGAGCTAATTACTCTACATCTCCTCCTTTCACTGTTTAGTTAAAAGCTGGGGGCGAGACCTGTAATGAAAGTGGACAAGGAGACGGAAGCAGTACAGGAGCTATTCTGTGCTGCATTACTCATTTGCTAACAAGGGGCATGCTGATAGGAGCATTGGGGGTAACTAGAAATCTCAGGGCCCCATAGCAAAATTTTGTCTGCACCCCCCCCCCCCCCCCCACACCAAAACACCACAAACCAACACACACACCAC